TCATGGAATAGCTCCCCATATTTTTGTTTTATCTGCTATCATGTGCACAGAGATATATTTCTACCTCTCCTTCGTCTCTTAGTTAAGACATGAAAATGGTCTCGGCTTTAGGTAGTAACCTCTCCATCTATTGAAATCCTTCACAGTGAGAACACAGATTACCTCCTCTTCAAAGCATGCCCTGCTCTTTCTGCCAGGAGGCGATCCATGCTTTCTTGGAGCCCCTACTAACTCTGTAGGGACCCTCCTAAGATGAGTCAGTCTGGTTTAAGACGAGTCAGTCTGCAGGTCTCAGAGCTAAGAGTGCCTGCCTCTCCTCCAGCCAATGGCAAGCCCAGGGAGGGACTGGGCCTCCTCCACCTCTGGGTCTTCCTGGGGGGCCTAAGTGGGCTTTGGCACAGAGAATGCTGAGATAATTGAGGAAACCAGCAGTAAGGAGAAAATCATTCGGGCTGTTTAAGGTGACAGAGATTCTTAGGGTAAATGACACATTTTAAAGGGCAGGATGAAATAAAAAATTAGGCTTAAGGATAATTTTAAAATGAGAAAATCATCAATAATATTAGGTGAAAAGAAAGCAGATTCCAAATACAGAACAGAATCATAATTCCTTCAGGGCCAAGTAGGAAAGATGAATGTCTGACAACCAATGACATAAGACAACAGGGAAGAGGGGCTGGAGAGTGCACACTCCCAATCCCCAACACATTAAATTCACACTTTGAAAAACTCTGGGTTGGCTATATAAAACAAGGCTGCCAGTTTGAGACATCTGGTATATACAGCAGACTATCAACTAGGTTAAAAAAAAACAGGCCATCTGTATATAAATATACATAGATATGGTCTAGAAAAGGCTAATACAGTATCATAAGAGAAAATCCATGATTCAAATCCTAAGTCACTTGATTTTCTGTAAGTCATCTATACTTTCTTTCTTGTAGCTTCACTTTTCCATCTGTGAAATAGGGGTAATAAGAACTACTTCACAGATTTGTTATAAGACTAAGAAAAATATATATTGTCATCTCTTCCAGGAAGCCTTCCTTGATAAGTCACACCACTGGTGTCATGGTTTACTTGCCTGTCTCCCTGTCAGACTAGGTCCCTGAGTGTTTTACTCATAAGTCTTTCCATTTAGTCCAGAGTCTGGCACAGATGTCATTCATAAATATGTATGGCTTTATTTAATTCTCTTCATTTTACTTTTCTGTATCTCAAAATCTTCTATAATGAGACATATGACTTTAATACTTACAAGTGTTCTATAATGAGCATAATTTGACTACAGAGGTAGGTGAAGAAGGAGGCCGAGCTGGGTCGCAGGGGGATGCTGGATTGACAGAAGGGGAGCCAGATAAGATCAGAATGGCAGTAACCCATGTCTAGACAAAGAGCCAGGAGATGATGTCCCAGGCTGGAGCCTCAGCACCCTCCAGGCCTGAGTCATTATGTGACAGGGCAGGAACGCAGGGAGAGGCAGCTGCTTCTTACTTACTGGCAGAGGGAGACAGAATCCTGGTCTACAAGAGCCTGCCTCACAAGTTTGAAGAGGCAGATTTTTGCAGCTTGGAGGAAAAAAGCAGAGCAGAATGAATGGGTGCCCAAGAAGAGGCTGAGCAATTGAAAGACAATGCTGCTGACACACAGGGAGCGCTGAAGGCAGGTCATATGGGAGAGTCTGATGGGACAGCAGAGCAATTAGGTGGAGATTTTCAGTAGACACCTGGGCATTCAGGATGGAGGAAGTCCGGGATGGATGAAGGGATCAAGCACACACAGTTGACAACAGATGAAAGAAATGGCCTTCCAGCTGAGAGGCTGTGGAATCCCTGGTCTGGCTCTAAGTGGTATTCTAGTCTCTAAAGGCAGGCCTTCTACTGTGAGACAGCCATGTTAGGGGGCTCCTCCCTGAAGCTGCCACCCAATCAACCTCTCTTCTAGCTTTGCCATGGAATGAATCTCACCCCCTCTCACCCAGAGCCATTCCTGTGCCTAAATGCACAGTCTCCCCTCTTCAGGCCAGATGCTCCTGTTGCCTTTGACTTGTTTTCATGACACAGTTCCTCTTGTTGCCTTACTGTCCTCCTCTCCATAGATTCTAAGAGCTCAATGTCCACTTAGAATGTGGTGTCTGGCCGGGCATGGTGGCTCACACCTATAATCCCAGCACTTTGGGAGGCTGAGGTGAGAGGACTGCATGAACCTACAGGTTTGAGACCAGCCTGGGCAACTTGGCAAGACCTCATCTCTACAATAAATAAAAAAATTAGCCGGGCATGGTGGTATGTGCCTGTAGTTCCAGTTACTTAGAAAGCTGAGGCGGAAGGATTGCCTGAGCCCAGCAGGTCAAGGTTGCAGTTGAAGTGAGTGTGCCACTGCCCTACAGCCTGAGCAAGAGCGAGACTCTAAAAAACAACAACTATAACATGATGTCTGTAATTGCCCTTGGTGCTCCAGGAGGGGCAGGGGATGGCAACTGCCATTTGCTCACTCTGGACATTAGCCTTCAAATAATATGGCCAACATCAAGCCACTTCCCTTGGGCAGCCAAATTTTGTTAAAGGTCCCACGGTAGGCCTAACCCCTTCATCTGTGCTGGCACTAAGAGGCCTGTTTTCTTGCTTCACATGGCCAGACCAGTGCCTGCCCCATGTCACACCACCTGACAAATTATGGGTGCTCTTGGCCAAGTCCAGCACTTGTCTCTCAGGGGATAGCAACTGGGTTTGAAAGGAGAGATGAAGCCGGGCTCGGTGGCTCAGCCTGTAATCCCGCGCCTTTGGGAAGCTGAGGTGAGTGGATTGCCTGAGCCTGCGGGTTTGGGACCCACCTGGGCAACTTGGCAAGACCTCATCTCTACAATAAATCAAAATGAGCCAGGCGTGGTAGCACACGCCTGTAGTTCCAGTTACTCGGAAGGCTGAGGCGGAAGGATTGCCGGAGCCCAGCAGGTCGAGGCTGCGGTGGCCGGGAGCGGCCACTGCACTCCAGTCTGGGTGACAGAGTGAGACTCCAGCTCAAAAAAAAAAGAAAGGAGAGATGATGATGGGGGTGCAATCCCTGAGGTTATCTGAAAGAATGCTGAGGGATTGTCTTAAGGCATCAGAAAAGCTGACCTAACTTCCAGGGCTGCTCCTAGGAATGGAAAATCTGAACAAAGGGAGGGAAGCATATCCTCTCCGGGATTTAGCAGCTCTTTCTGGTCCCAATGGCTCCTTGGGATGGGCTGTGAAAAGCTAGTCACCTTTTCTAACTCCCTCCCTTCTTTGGAGGAAACTATTGCAAGATAGTCTGTAAGGATACCAGGGAAGCAATCTTTGTATGGTTAATACTGATTACCTAGTATTTTCAGTTCTCCCATTCTGGACACAAGACAGGATTACTCTTCTTGGTCCCTTGTGATTGGGTGGGAACATGGGATTAGTTCTGGTCAATGAGTTGTGAGTGAAGTAAAGAGTTCTTCCAGCCTGACCACTGAACTGCAGACACAACTTTAGAGCATACTTTTCCCTCTGGCAAGCAATTAGCAACACCCCAGCAGGTGGCTGCTCTGCCAGCAGGATCCCTGAGTATCTAGGATGATCAGAGTCTGCCCCTTACCCCCAACCACAATGAACATGCAGCATGACGCAAAAATAAATCTTCGTTGTTTCAAACCACTGCAATTTTGGGTGGTTACAACAGCACAATCTAGCCTACCCTGACTGATACACAGACAATTATACATTGAATAGAACCTTAGAAATCATTTAGTCGAATGTTTTCATGTCACAGAAGAAAACTGAGCTTCAAAGAGGGGATGTACTAGCCCACGGTCACTTGGGCAGTGAGTAGTGAAGCTGGGATCAAAAGCCTATGTCTCCTCTGTTTCTGTAGTGAGCTAAATGCTCTAACTCAAGACAGAATATTTGCCACTAGGTGGGACCTGCCACACTGAATCATCTCAAGGCATTTTAGCCAATTTGTGGACAAAAGACTCCATGATGCTAGAAAGAGCACAAGAGTGAAAATTAAAAAAAAAAACAACAGGTCTTCCAGTCCCAGCCCTGCCCCTGAACCTACTACATGACTTTGTGGTCAAGTCTATTAGTTTCAATTTTTATGCTAACTAACTACAGGTCCAAATGCAAGCCACATCACAATCCTGGGCTCCAGTTTCCGCAGGAGTAAAACAATTTAGTTGATTTTAGTTTCAGAGATTTAAACTTGTGCCCACAGCAGAGTCCCCTCAGAGGCTACCCCAGGAGGGAAGGGTGGGCCATGTGAGTAGTGTTCTTGTCCATCTTCCTTTCCACTAGGACAGCTCAATTCCTCTGATTTATTTGTTTATGCTTTCAGAAGATTTTCTATCACTGGACTTGATTTCTAAGGTCCTTGCCAGCTCTGAGATTTGTGATTCTAGTTCTTGGATTCTGCCCAGTAGTTACAGCACTGTGGCTGAGAAGGGCAGGAGACTTAGCCCTGATTTCAGGAAGTTCAAAAGTTTGGTTGAGAAGATAGAATTATGGAGAATTTTTTGGCTCAGATTCTATACTAGGTTCTCTGGAGTTATGTGTTGAGGGAAGGAGGGAAGGAATAGATCTAGAACGAGTGATGATGGGAAAGGATTGTTTGATAAGACTGCAGAATTCATGAGGCCTAAGGGAAATACTACTTAGACTAAAGACTTTGTCTGAACAAAGGGAGGGAAACACGTGCCCTACGGAATTTAGTAGCTCTTTCTGGTCCCAAGGCTAGGGCCCTTCTTCTGAAAAGGAGCCAAGAGGCCCATCACCGCAAAAACTGAATTTATAGGTTAATTCTCAGAAGCTAGAAGTGGCCCAGGCCTCTCTGTGGTCATGACAGGGATGGCTTCCGATTCCTGGTGAGATTGGTGGCTGGACTTGTATTTAGATAGACAATAATCACCTTTGGTGTGGAGCCTGACATAATTTAATGAGTAAAAGATTAAATGATGCATGGAGTGGCCCAGACCTCTTCCTTTCCCTGACACTTACTTTAGCCTCAGAAGTCTTCAGAAGCTTCATCACCTCTCCCTCTCGGGCGTAATCCAAGGGTGTATGTCCCATTTCATTCCTCTGCAGGGGGTTGGCTCCTGGCAGGAGTAGAAGAATATACGGTCAGAGGCTCTATAAACCATCAGTGAGCCCTCAGCCTTTCTTTGGAGGTGGCCTGCGGCTTCAATTTCTATGTGAGGAATGCCCACGGACACCTAAGGGATGGTAGAATGGTGGAAAAACACATCAAGCCACTCGGGGAGGAGTTCTTAGTCCTCTCTGACACACACTCCAGGATATAGGGGCTCCTATGAGTGCATGTACACATGTACGTGCGTAGATGTGTTATACAAATACACAAGCTAAACATACAAACAACATATAACAAATACACAGAATATACCCCAACACAAATACATGTAAACACACAAATTCATATATACATTCATTAAAATGTCCACATTTTCCAACATATTTCCACAGATGAACATTCACAAGGCCATATAAAAGGTTTCCTTTCTAAGACAGAGAATATCCCACATAACAATGAAAAGGTTCCCCTTCTTTCTGCTCTCTGCTCCTCTCTCTCCTTTAATGCTCTCTTACCTCTGGGCTTTTACTGTCTGCCAGAGTCAGCTGAGTGCCTTGGAAGGACATGGGCATCACCAGCAACCTGCCGCTCTAGCTGTTGGTGAGTGTGTATATGTGGGTGGGAGTTTCTTCCAATCATTAGTTGCTGTGATTTGAAGACAAAGAATTTTAAGTGTGACAAAAATAAGAGGTTAGCTAGGGGCTATGTATACCTTCTTTCCAAGTGCTAGCAGCTGACAAGCCTGTATAAAGTGTCTACTTTGTGCAACGCCTGGCAGTTATGGAGGAAAGGTCACGCTGACCCTCTGTGCTATCAGAATCTCCTACCCACAACCCAGGTCTGAGCACCTCTCTCTCTTCTTCAAAACCCATTCATTCATTCACTTTGGCAAACCCTTTACGAGTAGGGCTTGGGGACATAGAGGAATCAGATCTGGTCCTGCCCCAAAGGCACTCCTATCAAGGCAGGAAGACAGAAACATAAGAAAGCTGTGCTTTGTACACAGCAGATGCTCAATAAATATGTGTTAAGTGGAACATTAAGGTAAAAATTATCTAGTATTTCTTGAGTTTCTTTCTTGCTAGGGATGTACTGTCTGGCGTAAAGAAGGGTTAGTAAGACTCAGTACCTGCCATGGGATATAATGGGCTGGCTGGGGCCCCATTCAGCATGGAGCCTGGCTCTGGGTGGGTACCTAACCACTGTTTACTGATGGACAGTAAAAATCAGTGTTTCTCAATCTAGTCTGTGGAAACATTTTTATCACGGTACAACAAAACTATCCCTACTGAAAGTCTCTACTTTAAAGACCCAAAAAACTTATCAACAACAGTAAATATTTATTAAGCATCTTTATATAGTTGTCTGCCTGGGTTCCAGAGGAAGAGGCTCAACATAGGTGTGGAAGAAGGAGGGGAAGAGACAGACAGTTGGAAGTACAATTCAGGCAAAAGAAACTTTTATTATCAATAAGAAGAAATTGGCCAGGTGTGATGGCTCACGCTTGTAATCCCAGGACTTTGGGAGACGAAGGTGGTAGGACTGCTTCAGCCTAGGAGTTTGAGACCAGCCTTGGTAACATAGTGAGACCTCATCTCTACAAAAAACAACAACAAAAATATTAGCCAAGTGTGATGGTGTATGTCTGTAGTCCCAGCTACTCAGGAGGCTGAGGCACGAGGATTGCCTGAGCCCTGGAGGTTGAGGCTGCAGTGAGCCGTTATCATGCCATTGCACTCTAACCTGGAAGACACAGTGAGACTCTAAGTCACAGAGTGTAGTAAGTCATAGAGTCTAAGAACATCTAGGCATAGAAGGAACATACCTCAAAATAGTAAAAGTCATCTATGAGAAACCCACAGCCAGCATACTCCTAAACAGACAAAAATTGGAACCATTTCCCCTGAAAACTGGAACAAGACAAGGATGACCACTCTCACCCCTCCTATTCAACATAGTTTTGGAAGTCCTAGTTAGAGCAATCAGAGAAGAAAAGGCAATCAGGGGTATCCAAATAGGAAAAGAAGAAGTCAAGCTATCTCTCTTTGCAGATGACATGATTGTATACCTTGAAAACCCTAGAGAATCTGCCGAAAACCTCCTTGCACTGATAAAGGATTTTGGCAAAGTCTCAGGGTATAAAATAAATGTACAAAAGACAATCGCATTTCTCTACACCAATAATAAACAAACAGAAACCCAAATAAAAAGCACAATTCCATTTACAATAGTCACAAAAAAAAAAAAAAAAAAGAAATATCTTGGCATCTTCCTAACCAGAGACGTGAAAGACCTTTACAATTAAAACTACAAAAACTGCTCAAAGAAATCAAAGATGACATAAACAAGTGGAAAAATATTCCATGCTCATGGATTGGAAGAATCAGTATTGTTAAGATGTCCATTTTACCTAAGACAATGTACAGATTTAATGCAATACCCATCAAATTACCAGCAACACTCTTCTCAGACCTAGAAAAAATAATACAGGAATTCATATGGAAACATAAATGACTAAGAATAGGCAAAACAATCCTCAGCAAAACAAACAAACAAACAAACAAACAAAGCAGGAGGTATCACACTCCCAGACTTTAAACTATATTATAAAACGAAAATTATCAACATAGCCTGGCATTGGTACAAGAAAAGGCATATAGACCAATGGAATAGAATTGAGGTTTCAGAAGCAAAACCTCAATTTCTCAACCAACTCATCTTCAACAAAGCCTCCACCACCCACTACCGAGGAGAGGAGAACCTATTCAGTAAATGGTGCTGGGAAAACTGGCTGATCAGATGCAGGAGATTCATACAGGACCCCCTACCTATCCCCATACACAAAAATTAACTCTAAATAGATCACAGACCTAAATGTAAAACCTCAAACTGTAAGAACCTTAGAAAATGCAAGAGACACTCTTATGGAAGTTGGAACTGGCAACCAATTCCTGATCAAAACTCAAAGTGCCCAGGCCATAAGAGATAAGATAGACAAGTGGGACCTCATTAAACTGACAAGCTTCTGCAAAGCCAAAGAAACCAATCAAGAGAGCAGGGAGACAGCCTATAGACTGGGAAAAAATATTTGCCAACTCCATGTCTGACAAAGACCTAACATCAAGGATCCTCAAGGAACTCAAACGTGCTGAAAAGAAAAAACAAACACTCTTATTATAAAGTGGGCTAAAGATATGAATAGACACTTCTCAAAAGAAGACATAAGAGCAACCATCAGATATATGGTCATCAAGGAGATGCAAATTAAAACTACACTGAGATACCACCTAACTCCAGTCAGAATGGCCAAATCAATAACTCAAAAAATAACAGATACTGGAAAAGATGTGGCGAAAAGGGAACACTTCTACACTGTTGGTGAGAGTGCAAATTAGCTCAGCCTCTGTGGAAACCAGTGTGGCGATTCCTAATAGCTCTAAAAATTGACCTTCTGTATGACCCCGCAATCCCCCTACTGGGAATATACCCGGAAGAATTCAGGTTACTCTATGAAAAAGATACTTGCACATGCATGTTTATCACAGCATTGTTCACAATAGCAAGAACATGGAACCAACCATGTTGCCCATGAAAAGAGGACTGGATAAAAAAATGTGGTACATATACACAATGGAATACTACGCAGTCATAAAGAAGAACAAAATCATGATCTTCGCAGCAACCTGGATGGAATTAGAGTTTATAATACTGAGTGATCTCTCACAGAAACAAAGGGCTGAGTGTCACATGTTCTCACTCATAAGTGGACCCTGAACAACTACTGTATTACTATAAGAAAAGGATTGAAAGTGGCAGAAAACTGAAGGGAGGGGGCGGGGGGGTGGGACTGACAGTAGTTGATGTCTGTCTGGGGAAGGGGGGGCACACCTCATCGATAAGGGTACCTGCACGGTGAATATTTGTATACCTAGCCCTGAATACTACCCCACAATTTTAAATAAAAAGAAAAAACTAATATTTTATTTATTTAAAAATACTTTAACATGATCGTATATTCTAGCAGAAATTTAGTAAAAAAATACTGATATATATTATTTTTTATTATAATTTGTATACCACAAAATTAAATCTTACACCTTATAAAGTATACAATTCAGTAGTTTAAAATATACTCAGGTGTGCAATCATCACCATCATCTAATTCCTGAACATTTTCATCCTTCCAAAAAGAAACCCCATACCCATTACCAGACACTCTCTCCCCAGTCTTGGCAACCATTAGTTTACTTTCTGTCTCTATGAATTTGTCTAATTTTTATATTTCATATAAATGGAATTGTATAATATGTGGCCTTTTGTCTGACTTCTTAGCTTAGCAAAATGTTCTCAAGGTTCATCCATGCTGTAGCATGGCTGAACAATATTCCATCCTATGAATATACTACATTCTGCTTATCTTTTATTTATTTATTTTTTGAGTTGGAGTTTCACTCTGTTGCCCAGGCTGGAGTGCAATGGCACGTTCATGGCCACTGCAGCCTCGACTTACTAGACTCAGGCGATCCTTCCATCTCAGCCTTCCAAGTAGCTGGAACCACAGGTATGTGCCATCACACCCAGCTAATTTTTTAAAATTTTATTGTAGAGATGAGGTCTTGCCAAGTTGCCCAGGCTGGTCTCAAACCCATGGGCTCAGGCAATCCTTTCACCTTGGCCTCCCAAAGTGCTGGGATTATAGGAGTGAGCCACTGTGCCCGGCCTCATTCTTCTTAACAATCTATCAAGAACATTCAAGCTAGTTCCCTTCTTTAACTATTTTAAATAGTGCAGCTATGAACATTCATATACAAGTCTCTGTGTGGAAGTATGTTTTCATGTCTCTTGGATAGATGCCTAGACGTCATGAAGTAATAACAGCCGCATTGATATTTACTGAGCACTTACTCTGCTCCGGGCACTCTGCTGTGTACTTTCTATACATATTATCATTGAATCCACACAATTACCTTGAGGGATAAAAATTTAAATCCCCGCCGGGCTCTGTGG